CGCAAAGGCTCCCACCTACGGTGGGGTAAGAGCGGTCGTATGTACGCAGTCTTACCCATGCACTAAAGCACAGATAGACTGTTTCCGGATGACCCATAATGAAAATCGCGTCCAAAATTACATGGACTGACTGCTGCTTCATAACAAAGAAGAGCAAACAGTTTGATGAGCCATTTTGCTTTACTCAATCATATTCTCAAGCCAAAAAATAATGAATCTTTGGCTCCATTGCAAATGTTGAAAATATTTCATGCGGCATAGGGAAAAGAGTTCTGAAGGCGTAATATTTTTTTTTTGAAGACAGGACTCTCCGTTGTGCTGGTGCATATAACTGAACATTTCATTTAGGCTCTCATTCCTTCAAAGTTCAAACCTCAATATTCAAATTCCTCATTATAAACTTTCATCAGTCAATACTCAATAGACCATAGATAGTGGATACATCAACTTCTTGAACCTTTTATCCTTCATAATCCGAACATAGGATTCTAACTTTTGATAACCTCAAGTCCTCTATATCGTTTTTACTCTTATGTCCTTGTATATTTTGCATTTATGTTCTTACTTTTTTCATGATTAGTTATAATAGCTTTTCACCCTATTTAATTTTCATCGAAATTACATTTTCATTGATTAGTCATCTAGTTTTTGACTTATTGATTGTGAAATCACAAATTCAGATTTATACTTCCTCCGTCCTGATTTGAGTTGCAATTTGTGAATTTTAAGGTTGAATGATGATAAAATTAAATCATCCCGTGATGGTTTTAAAATTTCTTCAGTAAGAAAATGGGTTTTCCATTAAATTTATAAATATAATAGATTTCAAAGTGTAATAAAAATATTCTCTAACTGTGATTTTACTTGTTTAATAAGGCGAATTTTAAAAGTCTTTTATTTATTATACAATTTTTGAAATATTATTGTTATGCATTAGATTAGACAAAAAATATTCTTTTAATATTTTTTAAAATTAGGTCCATTTTAAATTATTTGCCCCTAGGCCTTGAAACTATCAGGGCCACCCCTGCATGTGTTGTCATCTTGTCATCTAGTTTAAAATTTGTATATTGATAAAAATATTTTTATAGGGTTTGGAGCACTGGCGTCTCCAAAATGTAGGTCCGCTATCGCTGATCATTAGAAATTATTTGCCTCTAGTTTGCTGCCAGACTGCCACCACCGGAGCATTGTCGTCGCTCCTCGACCGCCGCCATCAAAGGACTGCCATGATTATGCGAGAGAACTAACACCAAACGCACAATCAATTATTTTAATTAATGATCTCAATGCTAAATTGTAGTGTTTAATACTCCCTCCGTAACATTCATATCTTCCCACTTTCTTTTTTTGGACGTAACATTTATATCTTCACATTTCTAAATCTTCCCATCATATCCTCAATAATTTAAAAAATAATACACTATTACACCTACTTTTTTTGGATTTATCCTTCATTCCATCATATTATTTCACCATCTTCCCATCATACCCTCAATAATTCATACCCCATTCCACTATTCTTAATCTCAACCACTTTGTAAGTGGGAAGATATATGTGACACGGAGGGAGTACCATTTAAATGAAAATAAGATATATTATCCTTTTTTTTTAAAGATGATTACATTGTTTTCTAGAAAAAGATGATTACATTGTGTCAAGTATCTTGTGGTTTGATAACATCACTGCTGATCTCCCAAACAGGACGTACTATAATAGGCTAGAAAGATATTCCAAAAAAAAAAGATGATTACATTGTAATATTTTTTAGGGTATGTTTGTCACAACTAGATGAAAAGATACTTTTATGAGTTTTTTTTTTAATAAATGTTAGTTTTCAGTGATTGAAAAGATCTTAAAAGGAAAAGGTGATAACTGTTTGATAAAAAATTGACTGTTTGATATAGTTATGTTTGGTATGCAAGCTCATTGAGACTAATTAATGCTAAAAGTTATAGACTTTTCTCGGATACTACTCCTTGTAGAATATGAAAATAATCTTATATTTTTAGAAAATCTCTTACAAATTGTGATGCCAAACAGACAACTGAAAGCTTTTAGAGATTTTTTTATATAGGGTATGTTTGGGACAACTAGCTGAAATCATACTTTTATGAGCTTTTTAGTAACTATTAGTTTTTTTAGGAAAATATAAATCTTCCAAAGTTTGCTGAAACTCAAGTACCAAAATTTAAATTTAACTGCATTCTATAATTTGGAGTACAGAATGTAGGATAAAAACCAAACGAATAAGAACTCAACAGGAAGCAACATAGTCTAATATCATTACTTGAAAACTCGTAGAAGTTAACAGGAAGCTACACTTCACAGTCCAGTGAATGCCTTCTTTCCACCACTGACAGAACCAGCAGGAATCACCTTCAAAACATTGAACCTAACAGTCTTGGATAATGGTCTGCATTGACCAATGGTAACATAGTCACCCTCTTTCACACGGAAGCATGGTGACACATGGAGAACAATGTTTGAGTGTCTTTTTTCCCTCCAGTACTTCTTCACAAAGTGGAGGTAGATGCGACGAACAATGATTGTTAGGTTCATCTTAGCACTATGGCAAGTACCGACAAGGATACGATCTCTAATGGAAACATTTCCCGTGAAAGGGCATTTCTTGTCAATGTGTGTACCTTCGATCAATAACCTCACGAGGAGTTTTAAATGCCAAGTCGATGCTCTTCCAGTAACGCTTGCCTCCCTTTCCGGGCCTCTTGCCCTTACCTGTTTTCTTTGAGCTGAGAAAGCTCCTGGCTGCTTCAAGAAAGCCTTCTCAGTCTGCTCAGCCATCCTTGCAGATGAAATTGTGGAGGCAGTAGATACGAAGGAGGAAGCAGTTATCCAGCAACCTTAAACTTAGTAACTGTTAGCTTTTAGTGACCAAAATGATCTTAAATGAAATAGGTGGTAGTTGTTTGATAAAAAGTTGATTGTTTGCTTTAGTTCTGTTTGGTATATAAGCTGATGTGATCAATTAATGCTACAAGCTACTGACTCTTCTCGGATGCTACTCACGGTAGCATCTCAAGATCTAAAGATATTAAAATTGTTATTCGAAACATTCAACTACAGCTTTTAGAGACTAAACGTTAAAAAATAAAGATTTATGCCTACTAAACATGCACATAGTGCAAAAGTTATAAGATAAAAAGATTTATGCTTCTCAAACATGCATTAACATTTTTTCTTTCTAAATCAATTTAGTCGATTAGGTAGGTTTTGTGGAAGGCTAGAATACAACATGGTTTAAGGCTTTAAGCAACCAACTTTGTAGAAAAAGCAAATCGGAGATGATGGTGTAGTAGTGTCCGTTGATCTATTAGTGGAGTGCGACAGAACTTAGAATACCCTACCTCTTTTTTCATACTCGGTAATAAATACGTAAATAAATTTCTCACCTTCCCTAAAAAAATTTTGCCAAAAATGGATAACTGTCTGGTTTGACTTGCCATAATCATTAACCAAATGAAGTAAAATATTATACGGAGTATATATTAACTACTCAGTATGTATAATTAGTATATTACGGAGTGTACACCCTATAAGAAAGATACGGAGGAGTGCATATGCATTTAACTTAATTTTGTCTTTATTTATATACGTAGTACGGAGTATTTGATAAATCAACTATTCCGAATATCCATATTTTGGATATGGATTAAGGGTGTTTGGAACTGATTCTACTTTTACTTCTTTTATAAAGTAGAAGTAGAATCATGATTAGTTTTCAGAAGCTGATCTCCTTCAGTTTCTAAAAAACTGATTCTAGGAGTAAATTAGAGCATCAAAATGACTTTTTCAGTTTCACCCAAACACACCAACTTCTGATTTTGCTTCCTGAAGCAGCAGAAGCAGTTTTAAGAATCAGATCCAAACACCCCCTAAAGCGACTTATGAGATACTCCGTACTAAAATGGGAAAATTACGTATGTCTGAGATATACTCCGTACTACGTAGTTGTTTATTAAGTGTAAATACTAGATAATGACTCTCATTCCTGTAACGAGCCCCATACCGGAACGGTCGAGACCGTCGTTTAAAGTGGTTCCAGTGAAATTTTCTTATAAAAATTTGTGAGAATACTCTTTTTATATTATGTTCACCAAATTACACCTTAAAACTTCCTCAATCAGAAAGTCAGTTAAATAAATTATAGAAAAATAGTGCGCTATTTATATATTCTGTATATAAAAGCACGGTTTTTTTCAATAATTTATTTAACCGATTGCCCAATTGAATTTTAAATTCAAATTTTGTGCACATTATCTCTACTTTATGAAAAACACTCTTAAAAAACTCATCTGAAATTCTACCGAAAACCACTTCATGCGGCGACCTCCGCACAACGATTTTGATCAAGAGCTCTTGATGTGAATGGTTCTCACGAGATGATACCATCTCCGTCTCATATTGGTGTTCCTTATTTTAGTTTTGACATGATATTAATTAAGTGATTGTAAAGTAAAAATTATTGTGATTTGAGTAAAATATAATAAAACGATAAGAATTGCATATTTCTTACTAAAATGGAAACAAAACATTTATTTCTAAACAATACAAAAAAGAAAGTATGACATTCAAAAATAGGACGAGAATCCTCCTTACTACGTACGTAGTACTCCCTCCGTAACTTTAGAATCTTCCCATTTCAAAAGTAGGTAGATTAAGAATAGTGAAAGATGATATGAATTATTGAGGGTATGATGGGAAAATAGTGGAATAATGTGGTGGAATGTAGGATAAATCCAAAAAAAGTAGTTGTAATAGTGTATTATTTTAAGAATTATTGAGGGTATGATGGGAAGATTTAAAAATGGGAAGATTTTTGTGTTACGGACAAAAAAGAAAAGTGAGAAGATTTTTAAGTTACGGAGGGAGAATAAAATTGGGAAGACCGTCTAGAATTCCATTTCATTCAAAGGGTTGAGTTGACAACCTGAAAACACGTCTTGTAGTAATCCCGTAATTTAGCGGTCCCGGGCGGGCGAATAGTTTGTACTTTTATTAATTACCCCCAGAATTTTCACACAATTAATTACGTATAAAATCCAAAGAAAAAAAACTAAACGGCATCTCCTTCCTTTCGCTACTTGCCCTCCCTTCTGTCGCTGTAGATACTTTCCCTCTCTCGAATCGCATTAAATCCTCCCTCACTTCATATCTGCGTCTGTTTTCTACACTGGCGATTCAATTTGATTTTTGAAGTGTTCTTGTGATTCGCGGAGCAGGGGAGGGCAGGGCAGTAATTATCACAGTCCTAATGGGATCACCGAGGACGACGGAGTCCGGGAGCCGGTCATCGGGGCGGTCGTCGGTGATCGACTCCATACGGGGCTGCTCACTGGCCGGATCGCGGATTTCCAAGGAGGAGCTGTGGAGGAGGTTCACGATGCCGGAGTATCTGAGGCTGGCTATGAGGGCGGCGATCGAGGCCAGGGACGTCGACTCGGCGAAGCAGCATTTCGACGTGGCTCGGGTCGAGGGAGTCGAGCGGGCCGAGCCGCCGGAGTCTCCGCTCGTCGTCTTCATCAATTCTAGGAGTGGGGGGAGGCATGGGCCCGAGCTTAAGGCCCGATTGCACGAACTTATGGCGGAAGAGCAGGTGGGCTTCCTCCCTTTGTCGAATTCTCTGGTTTTGTACTTAAGGTCCATACGTTTCTATTGTTTATTGAATTATTGTGATTGGTTAGTTAAATTTCACTAATCAGTAATCAACTAATCACAATTAGTGATACACTGATACTAAAAAGATGCGCCATTGTATACAGAAGATCATCATCACTGGGGTTTTAGTGTCTTTTTGTCGGTACATTAACTCAAAGAAGATCACGTTTTTTGTATGCATGCGCCCCACTGTACTTTCTGGAGTTCCGTCACCTAAAACCAACTTGTACTTGGATCAGAAGAATGGTTTTCTTGGTAAAAAATTGTCCTTTTTTTTCTTTACCTTTCCCAACTTTTTTTTATTTTCATTCGAAAACCAAAATCCTTTAAAGTAGAAGATTTAGGATTTTTCTCTCTCCAATAAATAAATCACAACCACTCAATTCATAATTTCTTAAAAAATAAATGCATAAGTAAATTCAAGATATCAAGAGGGAGGGGGTAGAATCTTTGTTACTTTTACCCATATACTAGTATATGATTATATGCCGTGGTGAAACTATGATTCTGAAGGTACGTATCAAACAAAAAGAAAGGTGTGCTTTTGATGACAGTCATGAAACTACGGAGTATTGCACTATTACCAAACAAACGCCCATTTAAGGTGTCACTGCCCAAAGCCCAAAATCTAGAATACTTCTGGCGTGCCAAATTGATGCAACATTTGTATGCAAAAATAGTTTATAGATTTAGGCCCATGTTAGGCAATTTTATTTGTAGTAATTAGCATGTTAGGAGCATTCCCTTAGAAGTGGCTAAGTCTTGCAGTACACCCAGGTTGTCTTTACAAGTGATAGTCTCATTACTTTTTAATGTAAAGTTTTATCTTTTAATCTTAAATTGGGGGATGAAGGTATGAGTACTAGATGAGCAACTGGATGAGTTCTCTGCAAGATTTCATAAATCATTGAATTCTTGTTAGTTAACTGCGACTGATATGCTTTATGAAAAACATTGTGACATATAAATGAAAGCAGTTTGACTTACTTCCAGAGCTTTTGAGTTTTTCCCCAATACCTTCCTGTAAGTTTGGGCATTTTGGCCATGACAAAACAATCTCTATTCAAGTCTTTAGTAGGCTGGACCAGGCAAAGCCACTAATTAGTGTACCATCCACCAGTTTCTGTATGAAGAAAGCTCAACCACTAGTATTTTTTGTATAGAGTATTGAACCTTAATGGCATTTTCATGGATTTTGTATCAAAACATTGTTTTTTCCTACTGGAGCTCGAGTATGATGCTATATGTTATTTCAAACTTGGACCTTAATGGTTATCTAAGCAGTGTTTTGATGCAAAGGAGCTTATTTTTATAACATTCTTTCATCCTTTATCATCTCTTGTCAGGTTTTTGACCTTCAAGATGTCAAACCTCATGAATTTGTCCAACATGGATTGAGCTGCCTAGAGAAGTTTGCCGGTCTTGGAGACACGTGTGCCAAAGATATTCGTGAAAAGTTGAAAGTTGTGGTATGCACATTGAGCTGAAGCTAAAACCTGATTAACCTCGGGGGCCACTTTCCATGGATTATTGCATTAGATGCACCTTATTGCTTTTGCAGATAGTCTTGTGTTAAACATGTTTTGACAGGTAGCAGGTGGTGATGGGACAGTTGGATGGGTCCTTGGATGTCTTGGAGAACTTGATGCATTAGGCCGAGAGCCGATTCCCCCAACAGCAATCATCCCACTTGGTACTGGAAATGACTTGTCCCGTAGTTTTGGTTGGGTAAGTTTTTTTCATCTGCATTAACTTCCTGACTCTTTTGTCTATGATTTGGAAATTTGGCTTATGCTTCATTTGCAGGGAGGTTCATTTCCTTTTAACTGGAAATCAACAATAAAGAGAGTTCTTGATAGAGTTACCAGTGCTCCATCTTGCCGTCTCGATAGGTTAGTTCTTTAATAAGTTTTTGTCGTGTTACTCTAGTTTTTGTTGATTGATTGCGTGTGCAATTTTTTGCATGTTGGTTCTTTTCTGCATTTTATTGAAACATTTATCCTGCAGTTGGAAGCTTGTAATATCAATGCCAGCTGGTGAAAAACTGGAGACACCATACTCTTTGAAGTCTGCCAAGGATTTAACTCTTGACCAGGTTACTGACATAGCTCCTTTATGAATATCTTTATCCCCATAGCTCAATATCTCATATTCTTATGTTTATTTTATCTTTTATTTTTATTTTTTAATAGCCTCATCATGTCTTAGTGTCTGCAGACTAGCAGCACTGAACAGTTGAACATGTTATCTTACCTCAACTGGCAGAGCCATTTTTCTTGATGGTGGGCAGATGCCCGCCCTCAAGGTTTTTTCTCTCATCCTGTATAAAATTATTAGTTTTTAATGAAAAATTCAAGGGTGTTGCAAAAACTATTGGACCCTGGTTCTTGTACAAGAACTATACATTTAATGGGTTTGCAAGTTAATTAAATGTGATCCCGCGTGTGAGATATATAGACAAACACGCAAGCATAGCAAAATCCTTTTATTTTCACTAGTTAAGTCCCTGGTTTCAGCCTACAATGGTATTTTTTGAAGTTGATATCTTACAAAATTTTCTGTTAAATTTGTAAAAGTGTGTCAAATGTTGTTAGCTGGTCAAGCAAGCTTTTTGGGAGTCTTTTATTTAGAAGAGTCCATCATCAATGTGAATATGCACATGGTTCATGTTTCCTAAAACTTTCTAGATCTAGATGCTTCAAGTCTTCCTAAAATATTCTTAATAAGTAAGCCATGCTCCACTAATTCTGATTATGTATTGTGTAATGAGCAGGATCTACAAATTGATGGGGTGTTGCCTGAGAACCAATCCTACTATCAAGGAGTATTTTATAATTATTTCAGCATAGGTGCGCACTTGGGATATTTATTAATTTATTTTAAGTTCTACTTGTATAGGTGTCCAATTGGGAGTTGTGATTGTTAATTATCTGAATTTTAGGTTTTTCATCTTTCCAAATTCCTGTGTAATCCTTATTAATAGATGCGCTAATGGATTAATTTCATTTATCTACTGTATTGCAATAAAACAAATGCATAAATATTCTTGCTTTATTTTGCAAAGCTTTTGACATCCATAAATTAAACCGTAGCGATTTTCAGGGATTAATCTGAGTAGTTTTGTAGAATTAGATGATGTGTTTATTTCAGTTGATTTATTGCAGACTAATCAGGATATAAACTTGAGTCAATTCCCTAAATAGGACTAAAAAGTGGAAAAATTGCACAAATAGGACTACATTTTTTAAATTCCCTTAATAGGACTATTTATGTGTGTTTGGACAAATATACCCTTGTAGCTTGTGAAAAGTTTTAATTAATAATTAAAATCACAAAAAAAATACTAAAAAACGAAAAAAATACCAAAAATCGTAAAAAAATAATAGAAAATTATTAATTTGTTTTAAAAAAACTATTTTTTAAATAACAAAAAATATAAAAAAAACATAAAACTAAAAAAAACATTATCACCCCTGCCACCCCCAGCACCACCAGCTCCCATCACCGGAGAAAAATATGCCAACATTTTAAATAATGCCATAATGATGGCATATTCTATGAAAATGTTGGCATATTGAAGAGTAATTATGCCATCCTTTTGGCATTTTCAGAAAAAGATGACATTTTGTTTTACCAAAAGTGGAAGAAATTTCACCAATCGGAGGTAGTGGTGTTGGGAGGTGGCGGGAGGCGGTGGGAAAGGTATCCATAATTTTTTTCATTTTTATGGGTTTTTACTATTTTTTATTATGTTTTTTAAAAAATAAAAAAATAAAAATTAAATTTTTTATTTTATAAATATTTTATAAATGTTTTTATAAGTTTTTTACGTTTTTTAAATATTTTGTTTACGTTTTTTTATGATTTTATTACGAATTAAAGCATTTCATTATGAATTAATACTCTTAGGGGTATTTAGGGTAGAAAATCAATGTTTAGCCCTATTTAGGGAATTTAAAATGTCATAGTCCTATTTGTGCTTTTTAGGAACTCATTAGTCCTATTTAGGACAATTTCCGTGTAAACTTTCATATATCATGGAACATTTGTGTGCTCCAATGCATTCAATTACTTGTGCTGATATATTCTTCTACAGTGTGATAAAATAACGTAACTTATAATCATGGGTGCAGGAATGGATGCTCAGGTTGCTTATGGCTTCCACCATTTACGGAATGAAAAACCATACCTTGCACAAGGTCCTCTTTCAAACAAGGTATGCGATCCTTGTTCTTTGACTTTTTATTTTGATACCATATTTGAGATTTGATTTCAGACATTTGTTGAACATGGAACACTGTCATCTCCAACTCTAAATCAACTTTTAAGTACAGCTTAAAAGATTATGAATCCTGTATTTGTAGTTTTGTACATAATATTTATGTGTCATGTTCCAGAGTTGCTATGCAGAAAGAAATGAAGTACAGTAGTACTTGGTTATTTATTAGAACTATGTAGTTCGACTAGAACTGAGTATAGTTTTTGATGGATATTTATTCGGTCATCCGCTATTAGTTATTTTATTAGTTTAGGACTTCACTGGTTTTGTATTAGTAGTATCGTATTGGACTACTCATACTCTATTATTCTTCTTCTTATATTAGGGAGTTCAATAAAAATAATACGTGTAATAATTTTAGCATAAAAGTCAGGGAGTTTGTGATCTCAAACAAACCCAAACCTTAGGATTCCAGGATCTCAACAAAATCCCAACCTACATTGGCTACTTACACATTCGTCTGCATCTTCTTCACACACAACCTGTAGCATTTCCTTTTAGTTATTTTATGTTCAAGGACATCATAGAAAAGGGAAAATTATTTTAAATCCTTCCAATCATTTAATTGGTTTGTGTGAAGCGTTAGTCGTGGCTTATTATAGGGATCGAGGAAGTATTTTTTTCCATCAAGTGTTAGAAAAACTTGTTTTCTTTATTAAATGCTAAAATAAACAATGGCCTATGGACATTGTTTATGGATGTTAATAGTAAATACCTCTGAATTGAAACTTAGCTGTTGGAAAAATCTTTGATTTGGTTGCTGATATATTCCTTTTTTCAATAACATTTCCCTTTTTAGTTCACGTTATTAAATTCAGAACAAAATTGCATTTCACCCTTCAGAGATTTTTTTATTCATGTTAATAAATTCAGAACACAATTACATTTCACCCTTCAGAGATTTTTTTATTTATGTTAATAAATTCAGAACAGAATTACTTTTACCTGTTGAGGAACTGACCAATTGACTTCTTTATTTCAGTTGATTTACTCAGGTTATAGCTGCAAGCAGGGATGGTTTTTCACCCCGTGCAGCAGTGATCCAGGATTAAGGTAAGTAGTCTATCAGTTTTAAAATAGTTGAAGCAAGATGTGATACACTTTAACAGAAAGCTAAATCTGTGTTGATGAAGTAATTTATTTGATATTCACAAAATTCCGAAAATAAGTGGAATATAGACAGTTGAACTGTGTTTTTGTCATATCATTCTTATTTATATCATCAAACCATACAAGTGGAGTTTGCGCATGTAAATGCTAAATATTCATGAGTTTGCCCCACACACTAATATCCATTTTAAGTATCTTTTTGACTTGATATCATCTATTTTCTCTACTGGCAAAGCTAGAGATTTATCAATAGATAAGGTATTATGATGACAGTATGACAGACACTTAATGGATTTGCCTTAGATCTAACTTCATGCCTAATAGTCTAATATCATATGTATTTTCTTTTCTTCATTGGTTACTTTGCCCAATCAGTTGCTTTTGTAAATTTTGACCTGCTATATTTATGATATTCTGAGAAGGTTCATAGCAACTTCGTATTTAGTATTTTAGTGATAGCAACCAAAGCCATGATTGTTTAGAATTTTAAAAGGGAATCGGGAGTTAAGGGTGGAAAGTACATGGGGTTCATCCTTAGTGATTTATGGAGATAATTGACAATAACTTTGACCAGATCTACCACTTTCTTTTAGAAATTCGGAGTCAGAATAAGTAAAAATGTCAGGCCAGTATTGAGAGGTTTGGAATAGGCATCACCGATAGCAAATTTAGCGTAGGTGATCCTTGAATTATTTTATAGAAAATTTTAGTTTGAAGCACTTGTAGAAATCAATATCAACAAAAATATGTTATAATGGGTATAACCTAAGAAAATGTTTAAATAGTTTATAGTTATGAATTATGATTAATTTTTCCCTTTTCATGCAACAAAGGATAACTTACTGAACTTAGCCATTGTTGTTCTCTGATCTGATTATCTGAATGCTCTAGCCCCTCTCTCTTCCATAATATTTCTCATTGGGTTGTTGATGCAGATCAAGTTTTTCTGCTATTGTTTTGCTTTTTTTTGCAGGGGACTGAAGAACATATTGCGTATACATGTTAAAAAGGTCAATTGCTCAAAGTGGGAACTAATCCCAGTTCCGTCAAGGTTAGATTAATCACAGTAGTTTTATTACCACAGTTAGTAATTTACTGTTCCTTAATTTTAGAATCGTTTTATAATAATTATTTGCTTTCTTACTAATTTGATCTGATTGTCATTCCTTCCCCATTAATTTTTGCTCCCCTACATTGTAAAATATCTATTCAATAATTTCAACTCTTGTCTTTTCAATTGACCTGAAACTTCATTATGCTCTAGTGTTCGGTCCATTGTTGCTCTAAATCTTCCAAGTTATGGAAGTGGAAGAAATCCCTGGGGTCATTTGAAGCCAGATTATTTGGAAAAGGTATAATTGCACATCTATTTTTAATTTCATTATCCTTCTTTTCGTCTCTAAATGAAATTAGTGATTGTTAATTGTTTTCCTCACCTACTATCTTCTTTTTGCTTTCATCCTTAGAGAGGGTTTGTTGAAGCCACTGCTGAGGATGGTTTGATTGAGATATTTGGTCTCAAACAAGGGTGGCATGCTTCTATGGTCATGGTTGAGCTCATCTCTGCCAAACACATAGCCCAGGTACTACCCAAACTATTTTGTTTTTTTTTGTTCCTTTGAATGCTTTTTACCAGACTTAACTATTTACCATTCACAACTCTCAGGCTTCCGCAATCAGATTTGAATTACGAGGGGGAGACTGGAGAGAAGCTTATATGCAGATGGACGGTGAGCCATGGAAACAACCAATGGACAAAGATGCTTCTACTTTCATTGAAATCAAGAGGGTACCATTTCAATCCATGATGCTTCGTGGGGATTCGTAGATCTTCTTGCCTGAACAAAAAACAAAAGGAACAATTTGTTGTGCTGGGATTTATGTAAAAGTATTTTCACTTTCTCCCTTAACCAAACTGCCACCATCTAATTGTTCATTTGTCATTAGTCCCCCATTTTTTGTGTATACCGAATTCGAAAACTCATACCACCCAAGTTTCTTGGGTGGGAGTCTTAACTTATTTGATGAATGAAATTATGATCATCTGTACATAATTGTGTTGGGTTTATCTCTTATGTTCTGAAGATACTCATATGTAAGCCCGGGATAGAACGGTTTGAAACACTCATCTTAAAAGGAGTGACGTTTCTCTACTGAGTCAAAATGTTGTTCATAATGTGATATTGTGATACAAAGTATATAACTTTCTATCTACGAGTATAATAAAAAACAGATGTTTACCCTAGCGAGAGCTGAGGGTTTGGATTTTCGCCGGCGAAGTCTTCGTCGTCTTCGTGCGGCGCGGGGTATCGACGCGACTCTGGCGTCGTTTATGTGCGGCTTGGACAACTGCGGTAGGGCGATGGAGGACGGTTCCAACGACAGATGCAAGGATGGCCGTGACCGAGAGGAAGAGCAGGTGGGTGATCTACAAATAGATGATGACGGAGCTTCTGAATCCGACTCTGGGGCGACAACGAGAGAGGCAATCAATCGAGCGATGAAGGTCTGGCCTCCTCCTAAACCACCGCCAGGGATTGCACGAGGTGCTAGGGTTCAAGACTTTTACTTTGCTTATTTAGTTTTTCTCATGTTTTGTCCTCCTCCGATGAGACTTTATTATTTTGTCATTTGGTTTCTCGTTACTGTCTATGTTGTTAGGTTTGTCAGTCTGTTTGAGATTTTAGCCTTTGTTCATGTCATTGGGTTTGTTTGGATCTTTGGAGACAGGGATGGGTGTGCTAAGCCCATTACATGGTTAGCGATTCGTGTTGCTCTTTCAGGGTGACCGTCTTTGAGTCTCACTCTCACCATAGGGTTTATGGTTGTAGTTGTTGGTGTCAAAATTGTTTTTCATTTCATTGATGTAATGATCCTGAAACTTATGATATGAATAGAGACTAGTTTTCGTTAAAAAAATGTGATATTGTGACTGTTTGATGCAACGGGGTTCATGTGTACAATGTACATTTGTATGACGCCATAAATTTAGTTATTGTTTTTAACTATATTCAGTTATATTGAAATTCCTTTTGCACTTGAGCTGGCATATGCCATCATGTCACATACATCTATTTATGCACATTTTGTTGTTGCTACTTGATAATTTAAATGTATTGATAAAGGTAAGTATTAAATGGAAGTAAAGATTCAGAACAAGTCTAACACAATTTATTATTGGGGAAATTTAACTTTGCACCTCACTTTTTGGGTGATATTAGACTTTGCATCCCATTTTGAAAAAACTTTGATTTTGCACTCCATTTCACTTAAAATTCCTTTGACTTTGCACCCCATTTAGAAATTTTTCTTCACAAAATGGTATGTGTTGGAGTGCAAAGTCAAAGCTTTCTGAAAATGGAGTGCAAAGTCTAATATTACCAAAAAAATGGGTGCAAAGTCTAATCTCACAAAAAAAGTGAGGTGCAAAGTCAAATTCACCTTTATATTACCGTTCTTTTTTCCATAGATCAATTTACTCTATAGAGTTTTTATCTTACTCGATGAGGGGTTTTATTTTACTTGGAAAGCAAGAAAAATACTAATCCATCCAATTACAACTCAACACAAAAGAGATATTTAATTACTAACAAAAATTCGGTATAATGTGTTATTAATTAGGGGGAAATTAATTTAAATACTCCATAATCTAATGAAATGTGAGATAATATTCCAAACTTGTATACTATCTATATAATATACTTCCTCCGTTCCTTTTTAATTGCAACAATCCACTTTTCATGCCTGCCAACGCAAAAGTTTGACCGTTAATATCTTTCATTCCTTATTAGTAAAAAATTTAAAAAATTAGATTTTGAAAATTTATTATGAGAGGAATTTAAAAATATTTTTTAAAATTTTAATTCGTAATATATTAATTAATAAAATGTAATCAAAGTAGAATCTGTGAATAGTGAAAAAAGTCCTACGTTGCAATTAAAAGAGAACGGAGGTAGTATATACTCGAATTTTATATAAAAAACATTTCGCTCATGACTGTATGTTTCTTTTTTACAAATACAAACTTACAAAGTATGCATTTTGATGACAAAACACACTTTCTCTATAAATTACACAATGGCACATGCAAAAGTCAAAATATATATGAATATTGTCAATCCAGTACCAGAAAGACAGGTACACTCTCAATAAGAGAACTGAAAATGAAATGTATCGATACATGACCTAAATGATTGAAAACTGTCGATCAAAACCTAAAATATCATAAATTTTGATTTATGTATTTTTTTTTATTAATTTCATTGTTAGTTTTTGAAGATTTTTTCTTCGCAAAAGTTAATTAGTGTAACGGAAGACTTAAATTTTTAATATAAAAAGATATCAAAATTCATGTATTTTCAAGAACTTTTAATTTGATTGGTCAACACAAATACAATTGATGGGTGATCAAATTCTCCAATGGTCTGTTGTCTGTAATCAGTGGATATGTCATTTTCCAATTTAAAATACTTACATTTGGTCCAGATGTGTTGTCACTTTGGAATGGTCCAAAATATAGTAGAAACAAGATTTTAATCAGAAAAAAAAAGTAAAAACAACACAAGGAACCCTAGTCCAGAAAATCTGAAATCAAGCTCACTCATGGAGTACAACTGATGCCACCCACCGCGGGTCGTCCCTGTGCAAAAGAAGCGTCCATACTCCATACAGCCCAGCCGATTGCCTCCAGACTCTAATGTGCCGCCGATTTCTTCCAAAGCGCAACGGGTCAACGCCGGCGCCTCAGCTCAGCCTGTCCTGCATCTCGCCCTTACTCCAAGCCTGCACTCGTCACTCCTAACACCAACGGAACCTCTGCCTATTTCTGTCGAATCCCAAGCCTTTGACCATATCGGGTCAGCCATACACAGGTTTGTCGTTTTCTTGCATCATAGAGACAAACTGAAAGATCTTATATATTTCGCTTCCCTGTGATCAAACTGAAAGCGTATCTGCAGTCTGCTTCGAAGATACTGAATTGAAATTTCGGGTTTGGTGTAGTGTAGGCTGTGTGGTAAAGAGGTGGTCTTGTCATGTATGCAATCTTATTGTCTTATGGACATTTCTTTCTCAATTGTGGATTGTATATTTTCTGCTTAGGCTTTGAACATGGGCAATCTGTGTCCATATGCTGGCTGATAATTGCTTAATCATATTCAAAGGATAAAATGGAAGGATGAAAATGTAAATAACAAACATGATTGGATTGGAGCAAATACCCATGGGCCATGAAAGTCAAGTGCATATTTAAATGTGGACTTGTGGCAATGTGGCTAATACTCTATGTACTTGTTTTAATTGTCGATTTCAATTTTAACTCTCAATCATCTATTTCAAATTTGTTACATTCAAACTGTTTTGTTAAATCTGTAAACAAAACGGCCTTTGCTGAAGTCATGCCACGTTTCAAGTCTTCACCTTTGAAAAGTGGTGAGAAAAAAGTGTATGATTGAATAATAATTCACAGTCATCATTACATAGGTGTTTTCCTTAGTTTCAAACAGCTCAATATCGCAACCTATAGCGTACCCTCTGGGTATCGTAGGCCAAGCACTTAGCAGTCAGCAGACCTTTGGCATTGTGGCAATGTAGCACACTTTTCATTTTTTCCCTTGCTAAGCTAATTTTTTGCCTTCTAAGTTTTATCTATAGATTAGGAATGTTCTGATCTTCAAGTACTTGAGACATTTTAGTCCGAGAAAAAGCGTCCTATGCTTAAAAAGGGGTGTGTCGTACTGTGCTTAATAGGATGCCAACCATACATTGATTATGAAATACATGCATTTTATCCATCAGTGGGAGGGATATGCCCATTGATTAGACTTCCATTTGTTTGATGGAGATAAAATTGGATATTTATCACTACACATTTTTTCCAGGATGAATCGAACCGTAACTAGATATGAAAATGGCTAGGTTTTAGTACAGGTAATTGAAGGTGAAAAAGAAATACAAAGAATTTAATATAAGGTTACATAGTTTGAAGCTGAATGGCCTCGCCATAGGTACTCTTAGCTTGAAAAGAACTCCATATTTCATCTTAGTTTCTAGACACTTTGGTCATACATACGCTCATTTGTATTTTTTACTTTTATAATAACCACTGTACCTAACTTCCCTGTTCCGCGTTCTACTTTTTTTATTGAGTGTGTGGAACATCTAATGATGAAGGTGGGTAATGGGATTCCAACCCAGATCTGATCATCTAACTCCTTGCTATTCCTCCTGTAGTAGGGGGTGTTTTTGTTGAAGTACGCACAATGCTAGCTACAAGAGTAATGGACCATCATGCAAACAGTCCGGGACCAATTGATGACTCAGTATTGTATGACCAGGATAAGCATGTATCAAGTGCAGTCTGGGAGGGGCAGGTATATGATTTCTCTGAGGCAAAATTTTGTGCTATTAGTCTATAACTATTAATGAACCTGGGGATGTGATAATTATTAAAGAAAAGCTACCACCTCTTCGACAGGAGCGTGGTGCTCTTAGATGCCATGAACACACGTCAAGGCTTGACAGGTGGATGCTCACTGAAAAACAGATAGAGTTGGTTAAAAGGGCTGGGTTTGGCCACTTAAGATTGATACCTGCAATCAGTTTGGACAATCCACTTATCTCTGCTTTGGTAGAGAGATGGAGGAGAGAAACAAACACATTCCATTTCACTGTAGGGGAAATGACAGTTACACTTGAGGATGTTGCTTACTTGGTCGGGCTTCCGGTTGACGGTGAACCGGTTATAGGTGTGACATATACTTCGTGTGAGGCAGTGTGCCTCAAGTATTTAGGCAAATCACCAGATTCTGGGTACACAAGTGGTGGCATGGTTAAGCTTAGTTGGTTGAAAGAGACTTTCTCTATCTGTCCCGAAGGTGCATCACTTGAAGATATTGAGCACCATACACGTGCTTACCTTCTTTATCTCATTGGTAGCACAATTTTCTCAACTACTACCGGGAATAAGGTACCTGTCATGTACCTTCCCTTGTTTGAAAGTTTTGATGAAGCTGGAAGGTATGCTTGGGGTGCTGCAGCATTGTCCTTCTTGTACAGAGCACTTGGAAATGCCTCTCTTAAGTCTCAGAGCACAGTTAGTGGTTGT